TTGTGGTACTCAGCCTTGTCCATCTTTGTCCGCGCATAACCGACGATCTTGACATCGCGGGGGAGGAAACCCTGCCGGAACAGACCAAAGAGGGCGGGGAAAGTCTGTCGACGGGGTCAGGCGGTGCGCTGAGCCTACCTAGCCACGGTGGGCCCGCACCTTCTTCTTGGCAAGATCGCCCGATGCGCCGAGGACTGTTGTGGTTGCGGTCAGCGGGTGAATGACAGGGATAAAGATAGGCAGTTGCACTAACCAACGATGATGGTGTTATCCTTGAGGGCATCGTGGCTGGTTTCCATGGATGGAATTGAGCCTGCAGCTGGTAGAGACATGGTGGGTGTAAGGAAAGAGAGTGGGTAAGTACGGGCTAATAAGCTTGCTGAGTGATAATACACCGGCTATCTGGCCGGTTGCCGCCTGACGTGTTACGTCACTACCCTTAGATGCCGACTTCGACCGTGCAACCTGAAGAGGTGAATTCTCTTGTTATCGAGTCCCTCCTGGAATCTCACTGGTTATCAGTACGTCGTGGTAATAGACCAGCTCAAAGAGCTCGTTGAGCCTGCAACAAATTCCTCAAAAGACATCGCCGCCGTCCACATACGCGCTGCTGCCCTCACTGGCCGTCTTAAATCTTTGGCGCGCGCCGCAAACAGCGCAACGCGGAACACGAAAAATCTCACCGCTGCTGCCCGCCATGACATGGACCAGTCCCATCTCGGGCTCCAGAATCTGCTTTATGAGAAGCGTCATCTCGAGCGGGAAATAGAAAAGTGTCGCCAGTTCGCGTAAGTATCTATGCAAGTCCGCCAGGGCTCCGTTCAGATCGTTTCCAGGTCAGTGTATCAAGACATACCACTCTATACGCTCGAAGAATTCAAGCTTCTTGCGCCGCCAGAGGCCCGCTCAGACGACGTTCTATCCGATGAGCACCAGCTCCTGCTCAACCGCTTGAGCTTTGAATTCGTCGAGCGCCAACGGTAGCATCCCCTTTCCCAACTGTGCGCCAGCTCACCCGCATCCAGCCTGGATAAGATGAAGACGGATCTCTTGCAGCAGAAAGAAGAGCTGCTGAAGGAGAGCAAGGCAAAACTCAACACAATGGACAGCATCAAGTCGCAAATTGAAACTCTTGTCAAGGTCTGGAATTCTGGTCCAGAACAAGCACCGTGTACTCATTCAGCCGAACAGGCCGCCGCCGATGTGCAAAAGAAAGTCGATGAGCTTGCATTACCAATACCCATTATGGATACAGACGAATGAACGCCATCAATACCCAGACGCGCCAGGCTGAATGAACACCATCTAAACCATTAATATTACAGATTGTATTGAAACAACATCCAAGGGAGAATGCAAAAGACTACAGAGATGGGGATATAGATATATATGAGTGGGATGCGATGGAGAAACGAAACGACGAGATGATCGGGCTTACTCGCCCTCGCTCATGCTGCCAACGTCACTCATCTCCTCGTCTGCGTCGTCATCATCTTCTCCGTCTGCCGCTGCATCCGCGGCCTCCTTTGTTGCGAACCGTTGGACATATTCTAGAGCACACGATCAAATACTTTAGTGGCGATAACGGAATGGGCTAGTTAATCACACACCCTTCACTTTTGCGTCGTACTCTTTCGGGTGGCGCATTAAAAGAGCCGCGGCTTCTCCGTTCAACGGGTCGTTGGGGTTTGGGTACCGCAACAGCTGAGGGAGAAATACCTCGAATATATTAATCATGTCTGCGCCAGTCAGCGCAGGAACAAGGGGCGAGTGAGCAAATGGTGCAGACCGAACATTGGCGACCAAGTCTGGTTGATAACGTCGAGACACACAGAACCGCTTCTGTCCCACAGCGATCAGTACAGCCCACACAAGAGCAATGGACGTACAGTTCATCGATATTTGGGTGGAATATCTTATTCATAAAGCCTATGCTGGGCGACTTGAACGGGTATTGGTCGGGGAGCTCGACGTGGATCTTCCAGACACCGCCAGCGAACGGAGCTTGTTGCGGAGGAATGTGAACGGTGGCGTAGGTGGCAAGGACAACGCTTACTTTCAGCCGGACCGTGGAAGCGTACATAGAACTCTTGCATGCTGTCATTGACAAGGGAGACCTCGTAGTCCGACATTAGCCTGATCGAGATATGTGGTTAGTGAGCAGCACTATACAGCAACGTAGAGTAGCACATCTTCATTACATCCGTCTCGATGCGGCGCTTGCTGGGAGAGGCGTATAACATGCAGGGTTAGCTGGGGCGAGGGACGACGAGGAGGAACTTATCATAAGGGGCGAAATACGAACACGGTGGGAGTGAAGAGAGGTGAGTTAAGCGAACCGTAGCAGCCGGGAATTGCCGCAGCCCTTCTTTCCTTTACTGTCATGTTGCCCGAACATTTCTACCGAAATTCTACGTTACAGCATAATCGATGCAAAAGATTCAGAAGAACGTGTACTCCTCCACAAAGCAATACGCGTCGTCGATGGTGCATGGATACGGCCGCTGTTGGCCAGTGATCCCCGCCGGTCTCCTCCTCACGTCGACCACTGGCATTTCGGCCTTGCTCTCCCCTCGACCCCCGGCGGCTAACCCTGGATTATCATCTTGTCCTTGTGCCCTCAATGAGTGCCACCCGAGAAGCATACCTTGAGTCTCTTCATCAGCACGGCTCTAGCAAAGTATATCGGACGTCGCGCACTCATCCAGAATAGACCGAAACAGAATATAAGAAACATCTCCTCTTGGGTCTGCGTCAGCAAGTGTCCGTCCCGTCGGTGATGCATCGTGATTCTGTCTTCAGGTCATGACAGAAACACCGATAGTTTTGATGGGCGTACTTACAGAAATATGAGCCCGCTGACGGCCAAAATCGTCACAGAGGTCTGCGTCAAGTGAAACACATCTGCAAACCCTTGCAGTCTGACGATTTGATTAACTTAGAGAGCACATACGAAAATGCGACACGAAAAGCGACACGACATGTGCAATGAAAAGCACCGTCACCACTGAGGGGTTGGCTTAACGTTCTGCGTTCCAAGAGGGAGCGAGAGGACAAGGATTCACCTGAGGCAACAGCGCGGATGGGGTGGTGTCGAAACAGTGCCATGGGATATGCAATAATCGTACGTGAAGATTACACAAGATTTAAATGATACAGGAATCAAACAATACACAAAGCATGAGGCAACCACGCCGAATACATGAGTTAGTTTGGACGACAAAATTTAGCACACGGAATAAATCTCCGCGCGACGTTTCTTTCCGACTTCGTTTTGTTAGATTCTCCCGACTCTTTGGAACTACACTGTGGCGACCGGCACTTGAGTAACTGGGGAAGAAGTTCAATTGACGGTACTCCGCAAATTTTCCAACCTTACAGGTGCCGTTCTGGTTAATCTGATATGCAGTGGGCTGTCCTTGGCCGTACGCCTGCGGCATTTGATACGCATATTGCTGCGGGTACATGACCCCGGGATATTGAACCATGCCTTGCTGGTGGTTATTGTAATACCCAGGCATTTCGTAGAACCAGCCCAGTTCTGAGATATGTGGCTCTGGTGAAACGACCATCCCGAAATAATTTAATGCGTACCTTGGATTGGCTCGTTCCAAATGTAAGGTCGGCCAAACCTCTGCGCCTGGTTTACCAGGGCAAGAAGAATGACGAATGCGAACGAAAAGAGGATGAAGAGCATCCAAGAAAATGCCTGGATGACCTTCATTTCGTAACAATATTCTTTCAGGCGTACTGGATGCGGAGATGGAATCAGTCTCGATCGAACGGACTTCCACCACACGCGCTTACTTTCTCCATTTCTGGTGGGCATGATCTGCGATGTGAGAGCATCGCATTGTGTGGGGCTTATGATGTCGCTGGTGTATCATCAGTTAGCAATACAGCAATTCCAAATGGCTTGGCAGCTTACGTTGCCCATGCTGCCATGGCTTGAAGACGATTATCGAAATTTGGAACACGAACTGAGCAAGAGCAGCTTACCCAACCACAAAGCCCATAGGATGAACAGGGAGACGGCCTCAGTGCGAGGCTGTCCGAATTGTAATCTGAACGCATCTGAACAACGAGGACCGAAGATAGGACAGGGAAAGCGCACGAGAGGAAGAATACGAAGATGGTGAGGGCCGGTATGAACAACGCAAAGACAGTAAAGTCGGCTGGCTCCTCGATTCAGCCCAGTCGCGAAACGCGGTGAATTCACGAGTCAACTTACGATGCAGATGTGGCAGAAATATACTCGCAAAATGGGCTGCTAGACCGAGTACGGTCCCTTGAATGCAAATAAGCCATGCGTACGAGAATAAGACAGGATCCAAACCTGATAGCAGGAATACGGCCACTGTACCTGTTGTTCAGAGCGGTAATGCATGGAAAAGGTGAACGTTTTTCACCATAGAAGCCAATTCGGTATGATGCAAAGCGGACAGTCATGTAGATGTAGATAGGTCGTTAATGTCCAGGAAGGAAGAGACTTCGTCAAAACTCGTTGAGCGCGTGGCGACGCTGTAGCAGACTGGCAGTGAGGCTACTAGAAGGCTGTAGACCGTGAACGATCACCCGATCGGGACGCGAACCCGAACGTGCACGTGAGGGCACCAAGAACCCAGATTACAAATATTTAAGTTTGAAATATTGATGGTGACTTCGCCAGCAAGCACAAACACTGAAACAGCGAAAAACGGGGGATATTGGGCATTTTGACACTGGACAACAATATTCACTCGGCGCGCCACATTGAGAGTTTGCGAGGATTTTTTTTTGGAATTTTAGACAAGCGCTGGGTGCACTTCTTCTTCAAGTTCAATGATCGAGTGACGTCCCAAGTCACGTTGCGACATTTTTGCCATTCAATTTTGGTTCCCTTGTGTAGGGTCTAGAGCACAACCAGAAGAACCTCGGCGGCGGAATAGCGGGAAAATGAAAGAAGAAAGCGGTAGATGCTTGAAGAGAAGGAAAACACAAGAAATAATGATGAAGAAAAACTCTCGACCTGGGAGTCGAACCCAGCTTTCGCGCGAACGTCACTAAAGCGCCCGTTTACATGACAGGCGCGTGTACTCAACCGATATACTAGTCGAGACATACTGTTGGCAATTGTGAATACGATATATCAGATATATTTTATGCGAGGTCACAGGTGAGCTCGATGAAACTACTATGCTTGAGCTCGCTAATTAAAACATAGGCTAGTGTGCATGCGAGTCAGAACCCAGGAAGTTACATTATATTACAACCGTCCATGGCACAGAGGAGTCAATCTTTTCTTACTTAGAAACGCCGTTGCAGTGCCACTGATCCCCGGTTAATCTTCACCGCCTGGCTTGAAAAGGCAATTCTTGAGGCAAGATTCAGGACACGGAGGATATATGGGTCACGCCATGTACATATATATTTTAAAAAGGGAGCTGAGTTTCTTCGAGTTACTCAGCCGCCGCGCTAGTGCAATCCACGACGGCACCGTCATATCCTCTAACCCGTACGCCGTCTGCCTGTTCTTCAGAGTGGAGGGAAGATTCTTTGGAGGCACAGGGTAGAATCCCTCCTTGCCCTCGAGCACATCCGCTCCATACGTTACGTACTCTAACTTGAAACTTGGCTTATGGGTCTTGTTCCCCTCTTCCAGGTGTGGGATGTAGTACTGGGAACGGGTAAGGAGCGGGTTCAAATCCCATATCAAATTGAATACCTGCGCATACCCTAGAGGTGTCCACAGCCGGTTACTCCTCGACGGTGCGTCTGGGTCAGAGTGCCATGTCTCATTGAGCTGGCACCTCCACGTTTCGCGGTACATGTCGAGCTTGCACTGCTTCTCCTTGTTCTTGCTGCTTCCGCGGTGGTGTCCAGGCTTGCGATCCTTCAAACTGCTCGCGGTTCCTGTGATATTGTACGAGAACACGCGGAAGCTCGGCAGGTAAGGATTGGGGACCACCGACGGCGATACGTTGATCACCGCATAGTCATGATAACTAATGTCCTTTGGTTTCGGCATGGCCCCAAAGTCAGCGAGGAGAGCGTCAAACAGGTCGTTGTTTTGTACTGTGGCGGGCTCGAAGATCTCGAGGTCATTGGCCTCTAGGAAGAAGAACTCGAGAGAAATATCAGCGAAAGAACTGAACTTTCCAGCGGAAACAGCAAACATGGTCAGCATTCATGTGCTTGGAACAGAATGTCAGCATGCATCTCACTCATCATGAAACAAACTTGCCCCAAACAGATGGCCCACGATCGTATCCTGAAATCTCAGTGCCAGCTCGACATAACGAACATACTGTGTAAAGAACATTCAAATTCAATGCACCAGAAATAAGGAGAGATCATACGCATTCCGGGAAATAATTCCCTGAAGACGGTGGGACATGTCCTGGTCATCTAATTAACTAATATCAAGTCAGTTCGACAGTGAATACGCACCCGATATCCAAACCTGCAGCAACACTTGAAAAACACGTCAATCAAAGGGTCCATTCGGCGTACCTGCATCCCTCGCGCTCTAAAGCCCTTTAATTGCACCTCGAGCCAATCAAACTCCAGGTTTCCCGCGTCTTCACGGTCCTTGAACACGCAGCCCCCAACAGCTGTAACAATTTTATGAGCCCAAATAACGAGGAAAACACAGATCGCAATCAGACCTTTGTTCGAGTCGTAAAAATACATCGTGTTGAGGCTGATAACAGCTACTGAGTCCGGAATAACCTCCACGGCGTAATAGGCGCCGCGTTGGAAGATTTGTAGATATGGGAAGGGAATAAACGCTTTCCAGATGCTGAAGAACAATTAGTTCCCCGATAAGCGCTCTATCACCGACATACGAAGCGAATTCACTCGTGATGCTGTTGGGACCCGGTATCATGATGTTCTGTACCCAAGACGTCAGTCAGGAATCGTTCGGGGAACAAACCATCCTACATGTGCTGTAGAATATATTAAATATCAAGTATCAAGGTGACAAGGTACTTACGCCAGACATCGTTGTTTCCTGGAACAGATGTCGTCGATGATACATCCTGGCGCAGCAAACAAGGGACTCACCAAGACTGGGAATAACGGGAATCCCGCGACTCGTGAAAGCTGAATTCATCTTTGCTGCGACCGCTCTGTTTAGTTCGTATATTTCGGAAGGCGTTCGGGGGAGCTTTCGGTCGTTGTCGTGTCTATTTTTGCATTGAGGCTCCCCGCATGGGAAACCTTACAGCAGAACGCACCTCGCATTATCACCGGTCCCTGTACGACGGCGGGTCAACGTGGGGGAGTTTGGAGGAGCGCGGGCATACAGATAACAAAGTCAATTTCGGACGCCCACTGCGAGGCTGCCGTCAGAGCTTGTCTGGTACTGAGCAAAGGGCAACCACCTTCTTCTCAATGAAGTCGAGCGTAAGGTTCGTTAACCGGAACGGCGAGTCACAGTCCCTGTCGAATATCATTGGAGCTCATATAAGCAACCAAGGCAGAGCGAAACGCACGAGTACGGCTGTCCATAATACCCTGCCACATTCTTTTTCTTCTTGCCTTTCTTTCGATGACACGAGGTCTTTTCCGATGTTTTTGGTTGATAGAATGGATCGGGATGCATGTCAGTAATCTGCACAGGGAGATTAGGCTTGCTGCAGCGCTGGGAGACGCAGCGGGTACGTGGAGGAATCGACCATGGAGCTTTCGGGGCTCTTTCGGGAGTTAGGACGGATTGAAACGCGTTATCAGGTAAATGGCCGCACTTGCGAGAGCCGGGACTTCAAATGGAACTTGTTGAGGTGCTGCGTAGACGTCGAGCAAGCCCGAGCAAAGGAGAATAAGAGCATTCAAGAACATGATAGAGTGCTGCTCCAGAGGTTGCCCAAAATGGAAATGTAGTTTGATTCGGGATTTACAACAGCTAAACTATTCGTGAACTAGAGGCAATTTTAGACTATTACTTATGATGCTACAAGATGCGATGGCAGGTACAAGAACACAAGACCCAGGAGTGCGGGAAGAAAACAATCATGTTGTGATGGACCGCGTCGGACTTTCTTCTTTGCGTGTGGGCGCTTCCGTGGGTGCATGCAAGGCGAGAAGATATGCAACATTATCTTCGGTGTTGAGGACTTCTTCAATGGAGTCGCTGGCGAGGTGGCACATCTGGAAATCGACGCGTCAAATCGTCGGAAACTTGAAGGATGGCAAGTAGCTTACCCTCGAATATCCCCCGGGTTCAAGCGTCCCGCGACTGTCAGGTTTAGGATGAGTGTCGGAGCGGTGTGTGGCACAACACACGCACCTCTTGGCCAAAGCATTGTGGATCGCGTCAGTGCTGTACCGGCGCCTAAGAAAAAAAATACATGGATAAGAATAGCAAATGAGCAGTGCATGACGGGACCCACAGGATGCTTTCCAGCTCTCTTCTTGTTTGGGGCAGTATGAAAATGTGTTCGCCAGAGAGGTATCGCTGAACACCAGCAATAAGACGTGCGTCCTGAGGTCCCCTATGTTGATCTTACCTCGAAACTGCGATAAGCAGCGCAATGGGCGACGACGGTCTCCTCCACGCGCGCGCCAATTGCGGAAATGTCCCAGTCCATTCCATTCTCCCTATTCGTGGATTTTTGGTTAGAAGACGAGAAGACGAGCAGACGAAGGGGTGCGCGTACGTGGCATGGAAGTGGGCGCGGGCCTGAGGGGAATGGGGAGCGAGAAATTTGTCGATACTCATTGTTCGGGTTGGGGCTGGGTGGCACGTAGTAGCAGTTAGAAGGGCAATTTATAGTGGCTTTGAAAGCCGATTGTTTGGAAAGGCCATCGCACGTTTGAGTCTGACTCGCAAAAGATTGCTTACGTAACTTAGGCTCGCTTGGTTCCTTGATCGCCGGCGGATCACCGCAGCCTGTCCACTCACACCGTGTGACTAAGATAGCTGCTTGCGCAATGTCCGACGAACCCCTGCATCGCCCAAAGAACCCCGATGCGTCTCCGGTGTTCGCCTTCAGAGACCGCGTAAACTCAAAGTATGGTCTCTCCCTGCGCACGTATCACGACTTGTGGCTCTGGTCCATCTCCCACGTCTCAGACTTCTGGAGCGACGTATGGGACGCCACCAGTATCATCGGTGAGAAAGGCACACATGTGGTGGACGAGTCGGTCAACATCTCCGAAAACCCTCCGTGGTATAATGAGGCCCGTATCAATTGGGCAGAGAACATGCTCCACTGCCGCTCCAGTGAGAAAGTCGCCTTGATTCAACCGAGTTGGTGTTGCATGAACTTGCGCTGTGGCTGCACCCTCTGAAATTCGTCCCAGCTGAACCCACAACGCTCAACCCCACTCCGGAGCTCAGGCGCTGTACATACTCACAGTTGTATGACTTGGTTTCTCGGCTTGTCTCGTCTCTCCTCGCCAACGGCCTGAAACCTGGCGATCGCGTCGCGTCTTATTCTTCGAATTGCATCGAGACTGTGGCCCTATGCCTCGCAACTACTGCTGTTGGAGCTATCTGGGTTAGTGCAGCTGCTGACTTCGGTCCCGCCGGAGTTTTGGAACGGTCAGTAACTCCGGGTAGTTGCAGTGTCTGGTCGTAATCTTGGTGCACGTAGGTTCGAACAAGTGCAGCCAAAGTTCATTTTTGCTGTCGACGCATTCGTGTACAATGCCAAGGTTCATGAGCACCTTCCGAAGCTTGCGGCTCTTCTTCTGGGACTCGCCGCCAAGTCCCTCAGCCCTGCCAAGGTTGTTGTTATCCATGCAGTACCCTGTGCGGAGGATCAGTCAGCATGGAAGGAGAATTGGTCGAGCTGGCAGGATTTTCTCCTTGAAGGAGAGGCCAAAAATCTCGGACGTGATTCATCGCGCGAAATTCTCTGGTATCGTGCTTCTTTCAATTGGCCCCTTTGGATCCTTTTTTCTTCGGGTTCGACTGGTACGTCCTTCTGTCGTCAGATATAACCCGTTAATTTGCCTTAGGAAGGCCAAAGTAAGTTAATGCCCCTAAAGTTCACCATTCATTTAATCTCTGTAGAGCAATTGTGCACCGCGCTGGTGGGATGTTATTACAGGCCAAAAAAGAATTTGTAATTTGCGCCGACCTTAGACCAGAGGATGTCTTTTTTTATT